GACAGCAAAGTGCTCCTGCCTGGTTAGAACCCTTTATTCTGCTTTCCTGCTTCAGCCCCAGTAGCTACTAGCAAGAGGCTCCCAAACCACAGCAAATCATACATATTCCAGGTATCTGAGAACTTACCCAAGTCTGGGGCAAAGAAGCCAATCTCAGGGACAGAACACCACTCAGATGTAGTTTAAGCCCCTAATACCCATCAAAGATCAATCAAGCGTGCCCATTCCTATCTTGTATAGACCTTGCCAACTCTGTTTATACAAACTAGTTTCATCCAGTAAATATTTATTAGGCACCTACTATATGTCAGGCACTGCTCATAAACAAATAGAAATCTCTGATCACATGGAGTAACAGGAGACAGCCAATGTCAGGTGACGACACCCACTGTGCAGAAAAATAACACAAGGAAGGGAGGTAGATAATGCTGAGAGCAAGTGGTAGAGGAAAGGGGATCAATTTTAAATAGGGTGGTCTGGGAGGGTTTGATTCCATAAATAGGAGACTGGGCTGAGGAAAAGAGGGACCAATTCAGATATTAGGGGCTTATCAGGAGGAAAGAGCATGAGATGGCTTAAGGAAGGTGAGCAGGCCAAAGTCATACCATGTCTTGTGGGCCAATACAAGGAGTCTGCATGAGATGAAGAGTCACAGCAGGTTTGCACAGAGAAGTAACAAAATCTGACTTACAGTTCAGCATCACTCTGGCTGCTGTGATGGAAATAGTCTGTCGGGAGACAAGGGAGGAAGCAGGAAGATCAGTTAAGAGGCTGAAGATAGCTCAGACCAGGGTGAAAGTGGTAGAGATGTTGAGAGTCAGGCTAGGGACATATTTGAGGCAAAGCTAACAGGATTTATTGATTAAATGGTTGTGGGAAATGAGAGAAAGGGAAGAGTAAGAGATGACTCTAGAGCTTCGGGGACCTGATCAACTGGAAGGATGGAATCATTGTGAACTGAGATGGGAGTGACTTTGGAAGGAGCAGGGGTAGGAGTGGGGGTTCATTCTGTTTTGAACATGTGAAACTGAGAAGCATTTTAGATATCAGATATGTTGAGTAGGCAGCAGAATATACAAGGCTGGAGTTGAAGAAGATGGGCTGAAATTATAAATGTGGGAGTCACACCAGTATACATAATAATACTTAATTGTATGTATGATCATGTATAATTTGCATGACTGTGTGTTTGTCTGTTCCCCCCAAAGACTGGAAGCTCCATGGGGCCAAGAGCCATGTCTGTTCACAGCCAGCAGAGTGCTTGGCACACAATAAATATTTACTAAGCAAATGGAGAAATTGCCCAATTACTCCCTCAAGAATAGCCACACAGCCCACACAACAAGAAGCAGACTCTCTTGCAACCATACTGTCAAGCCCAACCAGCCCAAAACAGGGATCTGGGTCTGTCCACCCCGAGCTTGAGATTCCAGAACGTAAGTGGATACGCCTGGCACATCACCGAGTCAGATATTTGGGTTTCAGCCCTGCCACATTCTCAAAGGGTGGAGCTGGGCAAGAGATGTGCCTATTCCACCACCTCCATTTTTCCCTGGAGTGACTGGGGGAAAGGCTGCTTTACCCAGTTCATGCGCACAGATTTTTATCTACCTGGGGTATATGTGTAGGATGGCAGGAGCCCCCCAAGTATTCTCTGAAGAAAGTAAAGACTATGCAGCACCTGAAAGAAAGGAATACAGACCTACTGGGGATGCATTAAGAATAACAACCAAGGCAGCGCCCGTGGCTTAAAAGGGTAGGGCACCGGTCCCATATGCCGGAGGAGGCAGGTTCAAACTCAGCCCTGGCCAAAAACTGCAAAAAAAAAAAAAAAAAAAAAGAATAGCAATCAAAAAATTTTTAAAAGAGTGACAATGAAAACCTGATGCAATAAGAGGCTTACCTAATCCTTCTTCCTAATGCAAGAATCTCTGACCAGTGGGTACTATGTCTCTTAACCCATCAGGTGACTAAGAGGACAAAACTGAGCATAAGGACAAAGCGTAGCATTACAAGACATAAGATTTCATCTCAATAACTTTCCAGTTTTTATTGCCTTTGTGAAGATGAGAAAACAGCTCTAATGATCTTGTATAACCCTTTCCCCTTCTGAGGTATAAAAGTGTGACCCAGAGAGATTTGAAGACTTGCCCAAGATTAGAATTCAGGTTCTAGCTCTCTGCTGAGGGTTTCTTCCCATCACATCAGTAACAAGGGAAAGGTAAGAGTTACAGTGGGAGCTGGGGAAGTTTTAGGCATTACAACATAAAACTATGTCCTTATTAAAGGGTAAGCTGCAGATGTTACAGGAATGCCAGCTGCACACTGTGAAGTTAAGAAGGATTCCTTCCTATGTACCAAATTTGTCATCCTACAGAGTTCCCCTTAGCTTTAGACTTTATGAATAAAGCTATTCATAGTAAGCCACACAGAATTAAAATAATGATACATTAACAGGTTAAAAAATGGAGGTATATGAAAAATTCAGATGGTAGGAGCAAGTTGGATTAGCTTTCTAAATTTGACAAATATTGAGTTCTTCCTCTGTACAAGTCACTATGCTAATTGCTGAGTATGGATATGCATGGCTATATGAGTGAGTGAAAGAGACACACACACAGAAGGATAAGATAGAACCCAGGTCTTCAAGGCTTACAATGTAGCTGCTGATAAAAGACTGCAAACATCCAAGACTTGACTAATAATACAGAGTAGATAATTATTAAGTAAGTGCCATAGATAATGTGTCTGCAGTGCTCAGAAGGCACAATCACTTCTACTGGCAGGGGAGGGAAGTGGTGGATTTGTTAAGCTAGGTGCTTCACGAAAGATAGGGATTTGAGATGAACCTTGAAAGGAAGAAAAGCTCTTGATAAGAAGAAAAAGGCAAGAGCAAACACTGGTCGCCTTAATGTCAGGAAAGGTAATGAAATCAGTCTTAACAGAAAAGGACTAGATCAAACTTCTTCAACCTTGAAAGTTAAAGTTCTTGTAGTAGTGGGAATCCACAGAAAGATTTTGAACACAGAACTACAGGATTTGGAACAGATTAATTCAACAAACATCCTCTGGGTAGACTACTATGTGCAGGTGTTGGATGATGACTGAAGACAAAGTTGGAGGGAACACACTTCAGCCAGGGAGAAGAGCTGGACTTGAGAGACAGGGGATGAAGTGAAGTGGCAAGGGGCAAGTCTTCAGGATCTGTAGAAAGAAGAACCAGTAGGCCTGACTGTCTGGGTGACAGAGGATGAGGAGGCAGAGAAAATCCTTGGAGAGAATTCCTCAAAGTCTAAAATCAGGCAGCTGGAGGAACCTAAGAGTGAAGAAGGGCAGCTGGTGGTCAGGGAGAAATAAAGAGCTTGATTTTAAAGGTGCTGAATCTACGAATATCTTTATCATAGCATGCAGTGCACATTCGGAGATGTGGTCCCAGGGCCAGGAAGAGAAGTAATTGAAGATTAAGCATAGGGGTCTTCCCAGTGGACAAAGTGATGTAGGACAAAGCGAGATTTCTCTGGGAGGGAGTGTATTGAGAAAAAAGAATGTCAAATGGAACCAAAGCTGTGTCCATTTCTAGGTGGCGATGTAGGGGTGTTGTGAGGGAGGAAAACCAAGATAGTCTGATACCAAGAAAGGAAGGAGAGGGTTGTCAACAGCAAAAAATGCTACATAATCACTTACGAGGACCTAGCATGAGTATTTATTGAACAAATGAATGAATGAAAGCCCTTGGGTTTAAGACTAGTTTTTCCTCAGCAGAAGAACCTCCAGTGCTGCCTTGAGACAAGAGGATTTCACTGTTGAGTTTCACTTCATTCTTCCCATAAAAATATGTTTCTTCCTCCACAAGTCATCCTGTCTACCACACAGACATCCTTTCCTACTTCCCCCATGTTCCCCTCATCCACCTACCTAGCCATAGAGCAACACACCTTTGGTGTCAAAGGAGACAGGAAACTCCAACTAGAGTTTCCACTTCATTAACAATTCTGCCTGTGGCTCCTCTTACAAAAAGGATATGTGGCAATGGGGTGGGAGAGGAGACTGGGTTGGCGCCTCAGTTGTGCTAGTAAACTAGCTGTGTGCCTTTACACAAGATGCTCAACTTCTCTGGATCCAGGCTTTTACACAGAGAAGGTAGGTCTGTCTGGAATACAGAGAAGTTTTCTAAGTCCCTTTAAACTCTAAAGTCTACAATTTTATCATTCTCAGAAAGTCCTTGCAACACCCTCAAAGAAGGAAGTGAGTACAAGACCCAGAAAAATGACCGCCAGACATCTTCCCGGGGCGAAACGCCAGGATAGGAGGGGTGTACTAAGAAAGTGAGGAGGTTTTGTCCGGACCTCGCACTTCGCCAGAGAGCGGATCCCATTCCCAAGGCTGGCCAGGATCCCAACAAACCCGGGGGCGACTTTCACCCAGCACCCCACCTTTTCTAGATTCCCAGACGCTTGGGAGGATCTAAAAACCCCTGCGGGAAAAATAAAGATTTCTTTCCCAGAGTCCTGCGCTGCTCTTGCAAGTCGGATTCCGGCAGACACGATCAGCAGCCCGATAATGACACAGGCTTTGGAAGGAGTGACTGTTCTTGCTTCGCTCGCTCCAAGTTCTGGGGACGCCTGGCTATCCGCACCCGTGCCCCGACGGACCGGCGTCTGACCCCGACCCAAGCTGCCAGGCCAGCGGCCCCTGGCCCTGGGCCCTCCTCCCTCCGTCGCCTGGCTGCGGTCTGCAAACATTTCCTGCCCCCACCCCCACTAGGAGGTCCCCAGCTGGACCGAGTTGGTCTCGCAACCGGCTCAGGGCTCGCAGTTGCCCCGACTTGGCTCCCCCGGCCACCCAGTGCTGGGGAGGGGCCCCGTCTGGTCGCGGAGCAGCCCATCGAGGAAGCCCAAACGCTAGAAGCCGTGGGAGGTCGCTCTGGCAGCCCAGAGCTCGGGCCAGGAGAGGAACAACTGGCACGGTGCCCGAGGCCCTGCTCTCTTCTCCGTCGTTACCTGCTCGCTTGCGGGGGTGTCCCGGGGCAGCTGGCCTCTCCCGGCGCTGTCTCCCCACGCAGTTGCCCATGCTGGCTCCTCAGCTGGTCCCCATGCACCGGAGCCGGCAGGGTGGTCGGCTGCTCCGCGATCCTGCCCCGGACGGCGGCGTCCCGGGTCAACGGCTCTGGACGCCCGGCATCGGCGCTCCCTGATCTCCCCTCGGGAGCGCGCTCTGCCCCAGCGCAGGCTTCGCCAAAACTTTGCCGGCAAGGGGAGAGAGGGAGGTGGCTGACTCCCCAGAACAGTCCCAGGTGGCCGGCCCAGGGGGGCCCGCGACGGTGCCCGGACGGAGACCAGCTCCGCTGGAGGGGCGGAGAGAGGGGGCGGGCACCGCTGCAGCTACTCAGGGCTAGCTCGGGGCTCCCGGCTGGGGCCAGCCCCCCGGAGCCTGTCACTCACCTGCCTAACCCCGCCCCAGCCCGGCCCCACTCCCTTCCGCCAGCTCGTGGTGCCTGAGCCGCCACCACCACCCGCCCCAGGTGCGCATGTGACCACCGGCACCGCCCCCCAGTACTGGGCCTGATTTTCTCATTGGCTTCCCCCAGGGTATGTACCGCCCCTCGGCCCCACCCAACCAGGTGCCCGGCCCACTGCTGGTCTCCTAGGGAGCCAGGCCGGGAATTATTCGCCCTCAATAGCCCAGGGCTGCGTGCCCAGCAGCCGCCTTCCCTCCCCTCGCCCAGCAGCCGATTCCAGGCCACGCCCATAAGGGAGGGGCCATCCAGTCCCTCTGTGGAACTGCCAAGCAAGGAGCCGGCAGGCACGTGATATATAGAGCGCCCCGCCCCCTTAGCCTGCGTCAGGCGATTGGTTCAGGAGGCGCCTGCGCGAAGAGGCTCTTTTCGTGCCACTGCCTACTTCCCCTCCCCCGGTCTCTAGTTCGCGTCATGGCTGCCGCCGCCACTCTGGAGACGGCGGCGCCTAGGGGCGCCCTGTGGGGCCTCGTGCAAGACTTTGTCATGGGTCAGCAGGAGGGCTCCGCTGACCAGGTGGCTGCAGGTACGGCAGACATCGCTGCGCGGCTTCTGCCTGGGGGCCGACAGGAGGGAGCGGCCTCAGCACAGGCGCCGGGCGGGAAGACAGGGGCAGCAGCGGTGACTTTAAGCCTTAAGGTCTTAGGGATGGTTGGTGAGCACTGCAAGCTTCAGAGCCATAACAAGTTGGAGAGTCGCCTGTATCTTCCTTAAAGCCATTTTACACTCCTCATCTCCCTGTAGCCAAAGATAGAGAATCATTACATTTTACAGACGAGGAAACTGAGGCCCTGTGAAGGCAAGAGACTTGTGCAGGGCTTACTAACCAACCAGGAGGTGGGGAGTGGGGAGCTGGCACTCGGACCCAGGTGTTCAGGTCCGAACCAGGCGCTCACGCCTGAAACCACGTTGTGAGGAAGATGCACTTCAGCGGCATCCGCTCCGGTCGCGTGGCATCTTGGGAGTGGCCAGGCAGCCTGGCTGTGACTGGCTGTTAATCGCAGAGAATAGGAGAGGAGCCAGTCTAGAGGGAATTGGAAATGTTCTGCGTATTCACCTTAAGACTTTCCATTGTTTCTTGGTAAAGTTCTTGATTAATGTGATTCATGATTTTTTTTATGTGGAGTTTGTTTTTATCTTTTTCCCAGATCTCCAGTTTCCTGCTTTTTGACCGGTTTAGGGATTTCATAGTTATGATAGCTTATCTAAGATTTGAATAAAGCAAACTCCAGGCTTCCTTGGAATTCTGAGACTTCGCTCTTTTAGAAAAAAAAATCTACTAAAATGTTATTGAACGTTACTCGGGTTTCATTAATAGAGTGTAAAATGATCTCGTGGTTACAGATGAGTTTTTTAAGCGTTTATTTTTGGAAATGTTGCATGCTTGGGGAGAACATAAAGGACTCATTTTCTCTTGCAAATTGAACATTAACTGTTAGAATGTGTAAGAAATGAATAGTGTGCTAGGTCTGGTGGCTCACGCCTGTCATCCTAGCACTTTGGGAGGCCGAGATGGGCAGATTGCTTGAGATCAGGAGTTTGGGACCAGCCTGAGCAAGTGGGAGACCCGTGTCTGAAAACAGCCCAGCGTGGTGGCAGGCGCCTATAGTCTCAGCTTGGGAGACTGAGGGAAGACAATCGCTTAAGCCCAAGAGTTTGAGGTTGCTGTGAGCCGTGACGGTGACAAAGTAAGACTCTCAAAAGAAAGAAATAAATTAATGGTGAATCTGCTAGAAAGATAATACTTTGATTCTGAACAGTATTCTTTTTTCATTCACTAATTCCATTATTGAACACATTCTCCAAACATGAGGCAAAGCAATAGAAATAGAAATACAAATTAGATTAGGTCTGTGCCCACTAGGAACTTAGCAGTGTGGTGAAAGAGGCAACCATGCTGTAAGAGGTGTGTGCAGGCAGTTGGAGCATCAAGGAGCAAATACCTGGGACTACCACTAAGCTTATCATCTTAGAGTTTTACATAGCATTATCAGTACCTAACAAATACAGTGTGCTATCAATGTCATTTTCCTAGATGTTTTATATGACCAAACATGTAAAGTCTATAAAGAATTTTATAAGGAACACGTGCCCACCACCTAGATCCTACCATTAACACTTTGTTTGATTTTGTTAAAAACTTTCTTTTTAAAAAAATTTTATTTATTAATTTTTTTTTTTTTTGAGACAAAGTCTCACTTTATTGCCCTCAGTGCAATTGCCCTTTATTGCCGTGGCATCACACAGCTCACAGCAACCTTCAACTCCTGGGCTTAGGCCATTCTCTTGCCTCCGCCTCCCAAGCAGCTGGGACCACAGGTGCCTGCCACAACACCCGGCTGTTTTGTTGTTGTTGTTGTTGTAGTTTGGCCTTGGCTGGGTTTGAACCCACCACCCTCTGTATATGGGGCTGGCGCCCTACCCCTGAGCCACAGGTGCCACCCTTAAAAAAACTTTCTATCGGCTTGGTGCCTGTGGCTCAAGTGGCTAAGGCGCCAGCCACATACACCTAAGGTGGCGGATTCAAATCCAGCCTGGGCTCGCCAAACAACAATGATGGCAGCAACCAAAAAAAAATAACCAGGCATTGTGGCGGGTGCCTGTGGTCCCAGCTACTTGGGAGGCAGAAGCAGGAGACTCGCTTGAGCCCAGGAGTTGGAGGTTGCTGTGAGCTGTGATGCCACGGTACTCTACCCAGGGGTATAGCTTGAGGTTCTGTTTCAAAAAAAAAAAAAAACTTTTCAGAGCCACTGTTGTTCTAATGAAAAAGAAAAAGGAATTTTTAATTTTTAATTTTTATGGGTCTGTAGTTGTGTATGTTTATTGGGTACATGTGATATTTTGATACAGGCATACAATATGAATTAATCAAATCAGGGTAATAGTGTATCCATGCCCTTAGGCATTTATTATTTTTTTGTGTTAGAAACATTCTAATTCCACTCTTAGTTACTTTAAAGCATACCCTAACTTGTTGATTCTAGTCAGTTTGTTGTGCTATCCAATATTGTTTATTCTATTTAACTATTTAGGATAGGCTTGGTAGCTCACACCTGTAATTCTCTAGTACTCTGGGAGGCTGAAGTGGGAGGATCGCTTGAGGTCAGGATTTTGAGACCAACCTGAGCCAAGACCCCATCTCTACCAAAAATAGAAAAAAATTAGCCAGGCATGATGGTGTGTGTCTATAGTCTGAGCTCTCAGGAGGCTGAGGCAGGGAGATCGCCTAAGCACAGAAGTATGAGGTTGCGGTGGGCTATGATGATGCTATTGCAATCTAGCCAGGGCAGCAGAGTGAGACTGTCTAGCCTGAGCAAGAGTGAGACTCCATCTTTAAAAAATAGCAGGCATTGTGCCAGGTACCTATAGTCCTAGCTACTTGGGAGGCTGAGGCAAGAGAGTCTGTTCAACCACAGAATTTGAGGATGCTGTGAGCTGTGACTGCCACAGTACTCTACTGAGGGTGACAAAATGAGACTCTGTCTCAAAAGAAAAAAAAAAAAGGTGAGACTGTTGTCTCAAAAATAAATAAATAGGCTTGGCGCCCATAGCTCAATGAGTAGGGCGCCAGCCACATATACCAAGGCTGGCAGGTTTGAGCCCAGCTTGGGCCTGCTAAACAACGACAACTGTGATACAAATAGCCTGGCATTGTGGTGGGCGCCTATAGTCCCAGCTACTTGGGAGACTGAGGCAGGAGAATCGCTTAAGCCCAAGAATTTGAGATTGTGAGCTGTGACGCTACTGGACTCTTTTAAGGGCAACATAGTGAAACTCTGAGAAAAAATAAATAAAACCGATCATATTTTTGCACCCATTAACCACCCCCATTTTGTCTCCCTGCCCCACTATCCTTCCCAGCCTCTGGTCTCTATCTCAATGAGATCAATTGTTTTTAACATTTAGTGCCCACATAATGAGTGAGAACATGTGAAAATTTGTCTTTCTGTGCTTGGCTTCTTATCACTTAACATAATGTTCTCCATTTCCATCCATATTGTTGCAAATGGCAGGATTTCATTTTTTATGGCTATATAATACATAATATTTCCATATGTGTATGGTATCACAGTTTCTTTATCCATTTATCCATTGGTAAACACTTAGGTTGAGTCCAAATCTTGGCTATTGTGAACAGTGTTCCAGTAAACATGGGAGTGCAAGTATCTTTTCAATATACTGAATTACCTTTTTTTTTCTTCTTCTTGAGACAAAGTCTCACTCTGTTGCCCTGGGTAGAGTGCCATGGCATCATTGTAGCTCATAGCAACCTTAAACACTTGGGCTCCAGAGATCTCCCTGTCTCAGCCTCCAAGTAGCTAGAACTACAGGCACCCACTATGATGCCTGGCTAGTTTTCCTATTAGTAGAGATAGGGTCTTCAAGCTGATCTCAGAGCTCCTTAGCTCAAGCAATCCACACTAGACGTCCAGCCCTGAATTACCTTCTTTTGAATATATACCTAGCAGTGGGATTGCTAGGTCATACGGTAGTTCTATTTTTTAGTTTTTTGAGAAATCTCCATACTGTTCTCCTTAGTGATTGTACTAATTTACATCCCCACCAGCAGTGTTAAGGGTTACCCTCTGCCATTAACATTTTAATATAACTTGCTTTAGCATATATCAGTCTATTCATTTAAATTGCAGATACCAGCACACTTAACCTCTAAATCAGCGGTTCTCAGCCTGTGGGTCGTGACCACTTTGTAACAATGAAATACATCCTACATATTAGATATTTACATTACATTCATAACAGAAGCAAAATTACAGTTATGAAGTAGCAACAAAAATAATTTTATGGTTGGGGGTCACTACAACATGAGGAACTGTATTAAAGAGTCGCTCCGTTAGGAGGCATTAGGAAGCTTGAGAACCACTGCTGTAAATACTTTGGCATGCATATCATTGACTAGAGTTTGTTTATGGTTTATTTAGGTGTAAAATATAAATGAAGTATATAAATTTTAAGCTCTTAAGCCTGCATTTACTGATTTTGACAAATGCATAAATCTGTACAATCTAACCCCGACCAAGATACAGAATGTTATTGTATCAGTGTCCTTTGAACTAATCTCTCACATTTATACATTATGAAAGCAGTAATTTTGGATTTTTTCAGATTTGAAATACACTTTGAAAAGAAAGCTTAAATAAGGACTGCTAAATTCTTGTAAACATTTTTTGTAAAATTTACCAGTACATTTTTATTTATGCCTAAAAAATGGCCTAAGCCATATCTAATTTAGCATAGTTCTGCTAAGATTCTGAAACACTGTTATAATATAACCCTCCAAAGAAAAGAAGGTGGATATAGGAATAGTAACAGATAAAGTTGAAAAAGTTTGGTGAGGTTGGATTATACATAACTTGGACTCCAGGCAGAGTGATTTGAATGACCTGTAGGTAACAGGAGTCACTGTAAATCCTTGAACAAAGGCCCAAATGAAAGTGAATTTGAGAAGGATTAAGTTAGTATGCTCAATCTTAGATCACAGCCCTAGGTAGAATTGTTGAAGGTAAC